CCTTTCATCCTTTTTTTTTCTTTTTACCTAAAAAATTATTAGAAAAACCAGAAGAGCCTTTTGGATCTGTTCTCTGCTTGGCCATTTAAAGTATCATTTTGCATCCCAAGACCCCTTGGACGAAGGCATGGGTTCGAGCTGGTCGATGATGTCCCCAGAAACACTTTGTAACCCAGGGGCTTTGCACTGACTGAAAGTGCTTTTGATCTTTTGCAGGAAATACCCCTGCAGAAGAAGGTAAGTTTGTGCAATCTCTGTGCAGATGTGTGCTAACAAAATAATGTGCAGTTACTGCTTCTAATAGTGACACCTCGCAGCTCAGAAAGATGTTGGAGGGGCAAAAAGGAATCTTGTACAGCACCGAGGCAGACAGGCGCATCAACCAGCCAGACTTTTTATCCTTTCTTTCTCAGTATTCCTCCCAAGTCCACCTCAACAACTCCCTTCTACCTTTCCCTAAGTATCCTGCAGTAAATTTTGCCCAAAATCTCTTTAAAGCTTCCCATGAGAAGCTTCGAACAACTCCTCCTTCTCACAGTCCTAATTTTGCTCTCTTGTGGGATCCATGAAAATCTTTTTCCCCCCCTTTCTGAACAATGAAGTCCTGGTTATGAAGGACTGCAAAGGACATCTGCTTCAAAGTCTTGTGGCTAAGCAGGAATTCCTTGCAGCCCGTGGCTCTAAGGCACCAAGGGACACAGTTTAGTGATGAAACAGATTGATGGTTGGACTTGATGATTTTGAAAGCCTTTTCCAGCCTAAATGGACAAATAATTCTATGATTCTATCTTTCAAATAATTAACCCTGAAAGTTGAACATTACATGTGTTTTTGTTGTTGTTCTGTTTAGTTTCACCTTCAGAAGAAACCATTATCTCAGCTTCAGAAAAACTTGATGAGGAGATAGGTAAGTGAATCTATCCCCCTCCTATTCGTCTTAAAGGAGTGGTAAAAATTAAACAAAAGTGAATGCAATGCAATCAGTTCCATTACAACGCTCTGTTATTCCTTCTGACCCTAAAATGCTCTACTGACTTGCCCCTGATCCCTGCTGCTTGCTGTTTTCCAGGCTGGCCGATGTTCTTGTCCCATTTAATTTCTGTTTCTCCCTCTTGGACGGCAGTTTAACTCTGAGATTCTTCTCCTAACCCTGTCTCCTCAAAAGACTACTTGCACCTCAATCATCAATATCTCTTCTTCTTCCTTAATAGAAATGCTGAGATTTTTTAAAAAAAATGTTTTAATTTAATTTAATGTGGGTGATTTATATTCTTTTTCAGAGTCCTTAAGGAGAAGAACTGGTAAGCTTCTCTGACCCTTGATTTGGTTTGTTCTTCGCAATTAAACCACAGAGAAAGGGAGATTTTTGCAGTCAGGAGGTCCCAGACTATTCTCATTGCACTTCAGTGGGAAGGATGTTGAAGGTTATCACCTCTGATACGAAGTGAAATTGTGGTGGGAAGTATCTCACTTAAAAGCTGCAGCAGAACGTGTAGTTATGAGGTTGATGTACGCCCTGTTCGTATGAGCAGCTGAGCTGCGTTCTGTTCTGTGCCAGTGCTTTGTATAATTTTTGGTTGACAACCACATGATCTTGCAGATGACAAGGATGCTGAAGGCTCGGTTGGCTTCTCTGTGTATTGAGCTCTTGTGTGGAGCATCTCAGTAATGAGCACTGCCATCAGCTGTGGAGATGCCCACTCTAATCTGGAAGATCATTATTTTTCCATTATGCAAATCATCACCTTCTGAGCCGATCTGACCTACTCACTATTTTCATGTCTTTATCTGCAGAATACCTGGAGAAACTTGTCTTTTTGGGTGAGAGCTCTTGAACTTGTTGGGAGAATCCTGGGTAATGTGTGTTGCATGTGGAACAGCACCCAAAAATGAGTTGTCTCATTTGCTCAAAGTTTTGTCTCTTAAATCTTCTGTGCACCAGTAACAGGGTGCATTCACAGCAGCGTGAATTCATCTTTGGAGCATCCCAGAGTGCCACACGTGCACACTTGAGTGTCTTCATTGGTGACAAATTCGCAGTACGAGCCACAGATTTATTCCCTTCCAAAGTTAAGATCCTGTGCAACAAGGGCAAGTGTGTTCAGCCTGATAATTACCTGAATGATGGATGGAACAGAAAACGTGGTATATCTCTGTGACAAAGGCTGCTGATTTCATTTCTGTGTATTTCCACCCATTTCCTCCCTTCAATCCTAATTTCTTGTCATTGCCCCTGCACTAGTGGTTACCGCCACCAGTGAAATCTTTGCCCTGCTGCGATGCACGTCTCTCTTCCCTGCATCAGCACGTCAGATACAGGCAGTGTGGAGCGACTGAAAGTTGTCTCCAATGCACTTGTTTATTTAGAAATAAGGAAATAAGAATAAAGAATAAAATTAGGAAATGAAGGAAATAAGAATATTAGTTGGCTGGGTTCTATTTTCTCGCTTTTGGGGTGACGATTCAGATTGACTGATTGACTGTTATCCAGAGGAGGAAGAGTTAGTAAGATGATTCCTGCTTTTTTTTCAGACAGAAATTCTGTAACCTTCGATGCTGACACAGCTCACCCTAGACTGGAAGTCTTTGATGAAGGAAAGAGTGTAAAGGATACAGGGACTAACAGAGATGTGGCCATGAATAGCAAAAGGTTCGACTCCCACATCTTCATCTTGGCAACCGAGGGTTTCAACACTGGCAAGCACTATTGGGAAGTGGACGTGGGAAAGAAAAACAGCTGGGAACTGGGAGTAGCTTCTGAAGCTGTGACTAGGAAAGGGACAGTGATTCTCTGCCCCAGAAATGGCTTTTGGGTCATGGCTCTGTCAGACGGGGTAGAGTACTGGGCCTGCACTGACCCTTGGACACGTTTGAATGTGAGGTCGAAACCACGAAAGATTGGGATGCTACTGGACATCTCAGCTGGACAGCTGTCATTCTACGACCCCCAAGGTCAAACGACTCTGTATGCTTTCAACATTGCTGAGAGTGATAAGAAAGGGAAGTTCTTTCCCTTTTTTTCCATGGGTAACAGCGCTGGAAAAAAAGACCCCGAGCCCCTAAAGTTGTGCTCTTAAGGTGAGTAGGCATCTTCATGGAGAAAACTGTCTTGCTGTTTTGCCTTGTTCTCCTCGTATCTTCGTGCCACTGCTGATTTGCACAGACCTTGGAACACATTGTGTGTCCCTTCGTTCAGAGTGCCTCCATCATTTCAGGAACTGTTAAGGTGAATCTTTATTGGCCCTACACTCTCGGGCTCATCAGGACGCGTTGGAGCTGCATCGTCATGTAGGTGCCAACCTGTCAAACAACAATCTCCATTTTTTGCTTTTAACGTGAAGAATAAAATCACTATTTTCCCAGACTGATCTACTGGTGTTTGTTCTTTCCACAGCTTTCTTTCAGCCTCACAGCAGGCCTTTTTTAAAGCCTTCTTGGGTTATGTCCTAGAGTGGGGTGCATCATGCACAAAAGCATGATTTGAAAGCTTTTCTTGTAAAAGTGAGATTCTTCATGCGATTTCATTACTGTATCTCCAGTAAGGATAACGTGGTGGATTCCTGGAGAGGAAGGGAAATCCCTTAGCATAATATTTTGGGTTCTGTAAAGGTTCTGAAAGGATTCTGTAGATCTCTCTACTCTTGTATCATCACTCTTCCTATGACCTAACCTTGCACATTCTGAAGTGAAACCTCCAGCTTTCAAAGGAGTGCACATGAGCCACTGTCCTTGCATGCAGATCAGATCTTCCCCATGAATGCTTCGTTATCTCTAGATCTTGAAAAGCTGCATGGTCAGAGGCAAAGGCCATCTTTGTCCTCTCATGGGCCAAGTTTTGGTGTTGGTCTGGTCTCATCTTGTATGGAATTCCTTCTTCATGCATTTCTTTCCCTTGTCTGCTAATGACTATCTACTCGTTAGTTCTATTCTTCAAACATTTTCCCCCTGTTCTTGTTGGTCAGCTTCAAGCAGAAGACACCTGATTTGTTGCACACAGGGGGCAATTCTGCTATGCATCACTTACTGCATCATCCAAGGGTTTAGTGCTTGCTCTTGCCCTCTGCAGTGGTAGCTGAAAGCTCCGTGCCAAGGCAGCAATGGGCTCTGTGGGATCCATTTCCCCATCACAAACCTTCCAAACGAATTACCTGAACCTTCTATGATTCTGGGTAATGCAGAGTGTGCAACATCTGTGGCTGTGTGTTCAACATTTGTGGTTGTGGTGAGGCTTGGAAGGATTTTTGTATTCCTGGAAGGTAGAAACAAAAGCAACGACGACAACAAAAACAACAACTCACAAAACCAAACAGCTGGGATTTGAAAAGGCTCATGAGTACTGACTTCAAAAAGGAAGCCCACTCCTGTTCCTGACAATGACATCCGGATTACAGGGAAGGAGGTTATGAAATGTTTGGGCTCACATATAAACCCTTGGATCCATCTGGCTAAGTGTGGAAAAATAAACGAGAAAAACACGTTCCTGGGCACCTCATCCATGCAGCTCTCGCTCCACAATATCTGTTCACAGACTTGAAGTCACTGATGGTTTGGGAAGGAGTGTTTTATCCTTTCTTTTTGGTGCGTTGTTCTTCTGCTAAGTAAATAGGAAGCCACTGAAAACGTTCTAATTAAAAGAAACACTAAAAAAATTCTAATTAAAAGGAATCAAGATGTGAAATGTAGCTAAAATTATCAGATTTCCTATTCTGCCCAGAGCCTCATCCTGGTGTGAGAAGCAGCATAGCTTCGGCTGTGAAGCTGTTTCAACGTTGTCTCCATCTTCTATGTATAACACATCCTCTCACTCTCTTCCTATGATGAAAATCCATTTTTTTTTTACTGAAGAGAAGATGTTACCTTTCTATTCCCACAAATTTTGCAATGCCATTACAGCTGTACATGACTGGCAGACCTCACATTCCCAATTTTCACTTGAAATGTTCTCTCCAACCCCGTTTCGCAGTCAGTGGTTTGATCCTGATAATATGTTGACTTTGGACTTTGTTGGGCACAATTTCTGCAGTGCTGACACAGTGCTCAAGTCGCTGGTTCTTAAGAAAAGCATTTTCATTGGGAGAAAAGCAGAAAAGAAGGCTGAAAGTTTTCTCTGGATTTGCTGGTCTCATCTGAAGTGGAAATCAACCATTACTTAAAAGGAGCAAAAACTGAGATTTCTCTTTACAGGAGAACAGGTAAGAACCAACAGGAACACGGCACTAATGGGCATGGCTGTGATGGGAGCTGACAGGTCAAGTTGATGGTAGGGCTTGATGATTTGAAGGCCTTTTCTAACCTGATTGATTCTATGATCTTGTTATTGTTTAAGAAAAGAAAAAAGCACGTCTTTTAAAATATATGCTTCACGTGAAGATACGGAGAAAGACAGAAATGAAGCAATTAATGGGGTAACCTCTTGTTCTTCCATCCTATGAAGACTATTTTTTTAGTTTCAAGTCGCTCGCATGCAGCAAATAATGATGAAAGCAGCTCCACTGCCTCTCTCTTCCCTTTCTCTTGATGTCACTCACTCAGAGAATTAAAGTCCTCTGTGTTAATTTGGCTGCTACTGCCATCCCTGCGGTGCGTACGTGATTTCACGATGAATGTTAGATAATCCTCTGAAAGAAAAAGGGAAGAAATTGCTCATAAACCAGCCTATATTTTTGGGAAAGGAAGATTGTTAAAATGTCCGTTTGCTGCTGTTGTATTTATGACACGGAGTGCTGGATCATTTCCTCGTGGTGACCACTAATAAGGTCGGTGAGGTTGCATTATTTTGTTTTATTTACTGGCTGATATTTCTATTTCTGGGCTCTACAGTGAAATGTTGTCAGATGTAAATGAATATCTAGAGTGTTTGGAAGTTTAATTTGTAGAGGACAAATGAATCCCTAGGTGCAAGACCACAGAAGAAGTAATAGCTTTTAATACAGTTTCTTGTTAGGTCTCCTTACAAAAAAAAAAAGACTGGGGGACTCCAGGAACCTGTTCTTTATTCCCATCTTATTTATATAAAACTCCAGGTCAGGAGTGATAAACAAAAGCAGAGGAATAGAGAACAAAATTAAGAAGTCAAGGATTACAAGGCTGAGCATGGAAAAAGGAATGATCTTCGTATGAGGATTGATGATACAAAGGAATTGCAACTCAGAAATGAGCCAGTGAAATGAACAGGGAAATGTTTCTCCCAGCAAAAGTCGTCAAGGGAAAGAATTGCATTGTGGATTCAAAGCCAAATGTTTTCCCTGCGATTGCTGCTGGGTTATGATTCTCATTTTGGCAGAGTTGCAGGATTGACATTTTCTCAGAAAAGATACGGGGAGCTCAAAAAGCACAAAAGAAAACAAACAAAGCCTTAAAGCATCTACCTAAATCGGATGCAGAAGTGGGATTCACCCAGTGAAATGTCAGTCTGTAGTGGAGGTTTTCACATCTGAATCAGGCGCTCTGACTTCTGTTACTGCACAGAAGCGATCAGCGTTGCAGTGGTAGTCGTATCATCCTGAACAGTATATCAGATAGAAATCTCCTGAGCCTCTCCTCCTCCAGTCTCACTTTCAAACAGCACCTCACCATCTCACAACAGGGTATTACTTGGGGTGATGATTTTCTTTCATTTCCTTCAGATTATGGCACCTGAACACTTCATCTGGGCTACGGTACCGCCAAGAAGAAACGTTCCAAATGCTGGCTAGTAGTAATTATGAATAATGCTCCAACAGTGCCTTCCTTTTCCTTAAAGAGTTTACTTTATTGGTCTCTAAAGTAGGGAGACTTGAAAGGTTGAAACCTTTGTCCCTTCAAATGTTTAGTACTCGTGATAAACGTGACGCTCACCATACGTGAACATGCTGGATGTTTAATACTCTGGAGGTGTAACGTGGCAGGCAGATAAGCATCACACAGCTAATTGCTCACTCCCTCACAGTGGGATGAGAGAGGAAAGGCCAGAGTACAAGAACACGCTGGTTGAGTTAAGGATGATTTAATATGGAACGTGTTCAGAGGAGGGCAACAAAGCTGGTGAGGGGTCTGGAACACAGGGCTGATGAGGAGAGGCTGAAGGAGCTGGGATGTTCAGCCTGGAGAAGAGGAGCTCAGGGGAGACCTCATTGCTCTCTATAACTTCTGAAGGGAGGCTGTAGTGAGCTGGGGGTCGGCCTCTTCTCTCGTGTCATCAGTGATAGGAGCAGAGGGAATGGTTTCAAGCTACGGCAGGGGAGATTCAGGCTGGACATGAGGAAGTATTACTTTTCAGAAAGGGTGGTCAGGCAGTGGAATGGATGCCCAGGGAGGTGGTGGAGTCACCGAGCCTGGGGGTGTTCAAGGAAAGGCTGGATGTTGTGTTGAGGGACGTGGTTCAGTGGGAGCTGTTGGTAAGAGGTGAACGGTTGGACTGGATGGGCTTTGAGGTCTTTTCCAACCTTGGTGATTCTATGATTCTATGATTCTATGAATACGAAAGAAAGGGGAAAATAAAAGCAGAAGAAAAACAAGCAATTGCTCATTAGACCAGATGACAACTACAAGTCCCTTCTAACCTTAAGCGTTCCGTGACTCGTCAGTGTTGTGAAAAAGAAGACAAGGAATTGCATTTGTTCTGGATGGATGTTGTAGGAATTCAAAGAGGGACCACAGAAAAAAGTTACCCTGGGGAGTAGTAGAACAAGAGCGAAGCAGAACACGCTGTTTCATCTTTGTGACAAGTGTGCTGGCAATCTGTATCCATGCCAAAATGAGGATGGGTGATTTGAAACAAACAGAAATGGGAGCTGGTGAGGAGAACACCAGGGAGAGCATTTTGTTTGGGCTGAGTCACGTTCTCACTCTGCCTTGGAGAAAGTAGTGAAAATGACTGAAAGGATTCGTTATTGCTTGAAACGTTCTACCTCACAATAATTAATTAATTAATTTTAAAAAACAGTAAAAAAAATCATCATCTAAATGAAATAACATCGAAACAGACTGTTACTCAAATAGAATAATGAGGGTTATTTCTGACTTTGAGAGAAGAGTCAAAGAGAAGAATCAAACGTAACGAAAATATAAGAGGAAGAGCATTATTGAAAATCCCATTATTTCTATGGATAAAATTATGCAGCGCACAGGGTATGCGAATGTTCACAAGCTGGATTAAGAATGGAGAGAATGGATGGAAGAGAATGCACTGAAGATAGCAATTATTGTTTGGACTTGGCCTGAAGGTAGCTTCCAGGCGTTAGCATCATCAAAAACATGGAATCTCTGTGACTTTCCACACCTACATGACCAAGGAATCAGAAACCACACAGAGGAATGTAACAATGTGCTGACTTGAACTTTCACTTTCAGTGACAGTCATGGCAGAAAATCACAAGTTCAAATCACAGTGCGTGGCACGGAATGGAATTAAAAAAGCTTGTCCCATCAGGTTAATGGACATTCATGGCATTTCATGCTCCTTCAGCATGAAAAAACCTGACTGAGAGGAGAGTCTGTGGGGCTTTGCAGTTCTTATCCAATTGATCCATAGCGGGCCTTTAGAATGGCATTCATTTCCTTAAGAGCAATAATAGCATTTTTCTGAATCATGTGCTCAAGCATGGGTGCACCATAGGATGCAGTCATGGATACACCATAGGATGCAGTCATGGGTGCACCATAGGATGCAGTCATGGATACACCATAGGATGCAGTCATGGGTGCACCATAGGATGCAGTCATGGGTGCACCATAGGATGTAGTCATGGGTGCACCATGGGATGCAGTCATGGGTGCACCATAGGATGCAGTCATGGGTGCACCATAGGATGCAGTCATGGGTGCACCATAGGATGCAGTCATGGATACACCTTAGGATGCAGTCATGGGTGCACCATAGGATGCAGTCATGGATACACCATAGGATGCAGTCATGGGTGCACCATAGGATGCAGTCATGGGTGCACCATAGAATGCAGTCATGGGTGCACCTTAGGATGCAGTCATGGGTGCACCATGGGATGCAGTAATGGCTGCACCATAGGATGCAGTCATGGGTGCACCATAGGATGCAGTCATGGATACACCATAGGATGCAGTCATGGGTGCACCATAGGATGCAGTCATGGATGCACCATAGGATGCAGTCATGGATACACCTTAGGATGCAGTCATGGGTGCACCATAGGATGCAGTCATGGATGCACCATAGGATGCAGTCATGGATACACCTTAGGATGCAGTCATGGGTGCACCATAGGATGCAGTCATGGGTGCACCATAGGATGCAGTCATGGATGCACCATAGGATGCAGTCATGGGTGCACCATAGAATGCAGTCATGGGTGCACCATAGGATGCAGTCATGGGTGCACCTTAGGATGCAGTCATGGGTGCACCATAGGATGCAGTCATGGGTGCACCATAGGATGCAGTCATGGGTGCACCTTAGGATACAGTCATGGGTGCACCTTAGGATACAGTCATGGGTGCACCATAGGATGCAGTCATGGGTGCACCTTAGGATGCAGTCATGGGTGCACCATAGGATGCAGTCATGGGTGCACCATAGGATGCAGTCATGGGTGCACCTTAGGATACAGTCATGGGTGCACCATAGGATGCAGTCATGGGTGCACCATAGGATGCAGTCATGGGTGCACCATAGGATGCAGTCATGGGTGCACCATAGGATGCAGTCATGGGTGCACCATAGGATGCAGTCATGGGTGCACCATAGGATGCAGTCATGGGTGCACCTTAGGATGCAGTCATGGATACACCTTAGGATGCAGTCATGGGTGCACCATAGGATGCAGTCATGGGTGCACCATAGGATGCAGTCATGGATACACCTTAGGATGCAGTCATGGGTGCACCATAGGATGCAGTCATGGATACACCATAGGATGCAGTCATGGATACACCTTAGGATGCAGTCATGGGTGCACCTTAGGATGCAGTCATGGGTGCACCATAGGATACAGTCATGGGTGCACCATAGGATGCAGTCATGGATACACCATAGGATGCAGTCATGGGTGCACCATAGGATGCAGTCATGGATACACCTTAGGATGCAGTCATGGGTGCACCATAGGATGCTGTCATGGGTGCACCATAGGATGCAGTCATGGGTGCACCATAGGATGCAGTCATGGGTGCACCATAGGATGCTGTCATGGGTGCACCATAGGATGCAATTCCTTTGTTTCACCCAGTTCTAATTACATTTTTAGTGAGTGACACGGTGGAGAAGATGAAAACCTCACTGAGCAGAGCACTGCCAATTCTCCGTATCCTGTCAGGTAAGGAGACTTGGATTTCCAATCCAAGTCTCTTTGGAATACAAAAGACAAGACAGTAGAGCTATGGTTTGGAGAATGGAGTGGAGGCAGAGTGGGGATGGCAAGAAAAGTACCAGAGCTCACCAGATCTGTGGTGGTTTTCTTCTTTTCTTGTGACCAAGCAAGCATTAATGTGGATGACCTCAAGAGGAGGAAAATCCAGGGAGGTGCTGAGGTGGTTTTGGAGGGGTCAGGATGAATCCCAGCCAAGCACAGGCAATTCCTGCACTGCAAGGGTGCGTCAGAGTGATATTTAATACTGAGGGAGGATACTTGGAGATGAGGTGACGTTGCTGGCATGGATGTGTGCCTGAGTGACTGTACAGTGTTCAGGACTTTCTATTACATGCACATTGATATGGGGAGGGAAGGATCTCTGCTTGGTGCTCTGCATTCCCCAGAGCTGCAGGTGGGAATCTCCATTCTAAAGACTGATTCTGGTGTAGAAATTGCATGGCGCACAAACCTCTGTTTGAAGTGTAAGGACAGTATAAAGCCCTCTGGTCACAGCCCACGTGCCTAGCTATTGGGGGTAGAGATGAGCCACGTGGGTGCTTGTCGGATGTGGAAATGGCTTGCTGTAGGCATTGGCGAGCTTGGGCAGAGAGCTCTTGCTCTTGGTCTCGCATGGGCAATCTTGCTACTGTCAGAATAGGAGGAAGAGGAACAACGTGGAAAACATGACTGTGAGAGTGAAGTGAATGCATGAGAATAGTGCATGGGGCTTTACCACGAGTGTTCCTCGGATTTTGGGGTGCTTTGCAGCATAGGCAGGAAATGCTGCCAACATTGTAGTGCTAAGAATAAGTCAGGAGGTTTCGCTTGTAAGCTGCTTTGACTGCCTATTTCTTTCCATGCCCATGACATGACCAGAGCAGGGAAAGCTACAAGACAGACTTCACCCTTTTCTTTCATGTCCATCATTTCTTGCAGTAAGAGACATGGTGAAGCTGAAGCTCTCATTGCTTTATGATCGACTGTGCAGCATGCTGCCAACTCACTTCTCATCAGGTAAGGATCGTTGGATTGCCAAGCTAATTCTCTTTGGCTAAGCATCATTTATGGGTGTGTGACTGTGGTGAGGGTTTGGTTTTCTCCTATCTGTCTTTCAATTGTTGGGACTTTTCCTGTCTGTGATGTGATCAGGCCCTGAAAAACCTCAAGTTGGTCTTTCAGTTTTGCTCCTTTTCTACATCATTTCCAGTGAATGATCTGGCAGAACGACTCCAGCATTCAGTTTCTGACGCATGGAGCCGGGAAGATGATATTTCTCATCTGGGAGGACAGTTCTGGCAGATGAAGGACATTCTGTGGGCATGCCAAACAGACCTCATCAGCAGAATGTGTTTTCTGTTACATCATAGCTGTAGTCAGTGTCAAGGGAAGAAAGGGGCGAAGAACAGAATGTTGACATGGGAACAAACGTTTTCAGTGCTCACTTGCCTAGAAAGGGCTGGAAGGACCAAACAGAAACAACTATCAGCTACTAGTGAAGAATTTTTCATAGGAGTCTGGCACTGGCACGGGTAGAACTGGATCCTTTCTGATACTGTACAAGCTGCAAGAGAGCCAGGAGACATGGAATAAGCATAAGTGTGTGAGAAAGGGGTGGGCATGGGAGAAGGGCAGGAGGCTGACTGATGGCAGATTGCGACGCCAAAAGCTGAGGTGCGTGCTCTGTCTTGGTTTCTTGGACAGAAATTGTGATACAAGTCTGGTTTAGGTGCAGGGCAAAGGGAATAGTTGTTGCCAGGGTTGCATACAATGTGGTGGAAGGGAGAGATTCTGCTGAACCCCCAGAGAGCACATTTGAATCTCATTTTGCCTCGCCTGTGATGTGATCAGGCCTGGGGAAGAGGTGGTGTGGTCCTTGACACTTTGATCAGTTCTACTTCACTTTCAGTGACTGACAAAGCAGTTACAACTGACTATTTGTGAACACAACCAAAGGATAACTTCCCATCAAGTAAGCAAAACAATTAGCCTTGGAAATGTCGACGATGTGATCAGCTGTGGCTACTGTTTTAAGTTCTGGTGGGCATATGCTTTGCTACGAGAAAAGGGAAGTGAAGAAAAAATAGAGGCTAATATTTCCAGTGTTAGTAACAGGTTTTATGAAGACTTTCTTTTCACGCTTGCCATGAAAGAGCAACTGTGCCCATGCATGAGTGGTTATCATCTGTAGAGAGAGAAAGAATATCATTTGGAGACGATCTAATCTTGGGGAGGAAGCATGACTTCTGTCTGGAGTAAGACAGTGTTTGAGTTGGGAAAGAACTTAAGGACATCTAGTTCAGAGGCAGCAAATTCTTGACACGTGAGAACATCTAGGTGGATTATTTGTAGGTCTTGTGTCTCTCTTGATATTTTTGTATGGATTACATTCGCGTGCAGTCACTGCCATTGTAGGTCATGTCAGGAGGCTCCACTTCTGAGTTTGCACTCACATTATACTTCTACTTCCTTCCTTACTTTTCATTCTTTTTTTGCTTATCTTTTCAGTGATTGCTGCGTCATGGATGTTCATTTACTCGTGGAAGAACAAGCCTGTGCATCAGTTTTCCATTTCAGGTAATCCTAGTTTTAGTGTTAATCACTTTTCCTTGGTTCTTCCAAAGACCTTTTCAGCAGCAGGATCTATTCAGTGCTCTTTTCTGGGAGAGCAGAAAGAGTCCAAAGATGAAGAAGCAAAGGTAGCTTTTAGCAACCAGGCAGTGCTTACAGGCTTGGGGCAGAGTGTCTGGGGGACTGTTAAAGGAAGCAGACGTGGGGGTTCTGGTTGATGCTCAGCTGAACCTGAGCCAGCAATGTGCCCAGGTGGCCAAGAAGGCCAATGGCATCCAGGGTTGTAACAGGAATAGCATTGCCAGCAGGAGCAGGGAGTGATCGTCCTTCTGTACTCAGCTGTGGTGAGGCCACACCTCGAGTGCTGTGTTCAGATCTGGGCACCTCACTGCAAGAAAGAAAGTGAGGCTCTGGAGCGTATCCAGGGAAGGGCAACAAAGCTGTGAGCAGTCTGGAGGGCAAGTTTCATGGGCAGCAGATGGGGGAACTGGGATTGTTCAGTCTGAAGAAGAAGAAGCTCAGGGGTGACTTTATTGCTCTCTAAAACTACCTGCATGGAGCTTATGGTGAGGTGGGGGTTGGCTTCTTCTCCGATGTAAGCAGTGACAGGGTAAGAGGGAATGGCTTCAAGTAGTGCCAGGGGAAATTTAGGCTGGATGTTAGGAAATTTTTCTTCTCTCAAATCACGGTCAGGGGCTGGAATGGTTTCCCCAGGGCATAGAGTCACCAACCCTGGAAGTGTTCAAGAAATGTTTGGGTGTTGTGTTATGGGACATGTTTTAGTGGGAGCTATTGCTGATAGTTGAGCAGTTGCACCGGATGAAGATCTTGGAGGTCTTCTCCAAACGTGGTGATTCTGTGATGATTCTCTTCTTCTTTTTAAAAGCTGCTGTTAGAGTGGTGCTGGTGAGTGACTGCCTGTGTGCCTGTGAGCTGCACGACGTATCTCCTTGTTTCCTGTATGTGAGCATGAGTGGATTACAGTGAAACGTGTGCCAGAGAATCAGCCTAATCAGAGACTCGTGGCCTGATGTCCAGCTGGTGAGACACGCTAGAACTGAAACACTGTGTAGGCTCTAACTGAAAAGGGTAACAGGAATAAAGGCTCTCAGGAAAGTCACCGGATTCTGAACAGGATTCATTTGACGCACATCTCTCACAAGCTTTCGGATAAATATCTGCCATATTTACACGATTATGAACACCTTGTGCGCTGAACAGGTTCTAAATGGCAGATGTTCAGCACACAGAAGATGAGATAGAATATTTTTGATATTTCCAGCACTCTTCAGGGCTTCTAGTTATTTTGTCACTGACAAAGAAAAGTGTGTTTTTACATATTCTTTGAGTTTCATCATTCTCATACACGCAAATGCTTTTACAGTGTCATCCCCTGATGTATTCCTGTTGTAAGAACAGTGCTTAGTGTAGATAACTCATGACCATTGCTCAGAACGATCCCTTGCCACTTTCAAATTCTAATGCTCAGTGGTACTGACAAAGGTTAGCAAGTGCTTTCTCTAAGGAAGCCGTGTTTCCTCTTTGGAATGCTTGTTTACATGGATGCTGTGTAGTCTGCTGAGCTCAGTCTTGGCAGTCATGGAAGTAAAGAGCTACACTGAGGTTTCTGAGCACAGTCACGACATTCTTGCTGCGTGCCACCAGATTTCCTTACTGATGTGCTTGCACTGTATGATACGGATGCATTGGAGATGGCTAAAATATGAGGAGGCTCTTTTAAGAAATAGATTTCAAGTGCCTTGTTACCTTATTTGCTCACATGCATTCAGCTGAGACACCAGCTGACCATCCTTTTTCTACTCTGTTCTGGCTTTCTACCAGAGTCTGGAAATTAATCCCCTATTGGATTCCCTGAGATTGAGGTGAGATGGGAGCCCTGTGTGCCCCATTCCTGGGGAAAAAGAAAACTGATTGGTTTTTTTTCTCTCTTTCAGATTATGAAAATCTGAGGACTGAATTAGGTAGGAAAAACCAAGTGCTGACTTGTGAAAATGTCACAAAACCCACAGGGAAGACTCACACACATTCAGAAAAATACCAGAAGGCAAAAGCTATGATTGGTCACAGGATTGATTTAATACACTACAGGAGAAAGATTCCAACGGAAGAAGACCTACAAGCCAGTAGTTGATACTTGGGAAGGGGTTTAACTGTTGGTGATGAAGATTTATCCCTATATTAAAGTGATCTCTGGCAAATACTCCAAGGCCTCAAAGAGCACCGAAAATCAAACTTCATTCTCCAATCTAGTAGAAACCAGAGATGCCTCACTCTGGCAAATTATCTTCATGTTCCCCATTCTCTCTCCACTGCCACTGAGATTCCTTCTGTTCAGAAATCTGCTTAGGTTTCAGGTTGGGTTAAAGACCTTCCTAACAGTGGGTTGGTAGACAATGGTGGGCCGTGTTTTAGTGTGACAGATACACTTACTACCTGTGTTACTCATTTTCCTACAGAACTCCTGAAGCGACAACACTACAAAGGTGAGAGCAAAACAACTCGTGGTCCTGAGCCCTTTGATCATAACAGCAGTTTGCAAAGACAGCATTTTCCTTAGAGAGCAGCTCAGAGGATATTTCTGCCTATGGAACGATGACTTCTTCCCTTTCAGAAGCTGTTAGTGCAGCTAAATGGCATTCCTTCCCCTTAGGAAGAAAGGCCCTTTATATCTTTATTTGTTTAACTATTAGCATGAATGGCTTATTTTGAAGATTTTAGTTGGAGCAGTTCCATGGAACCTGTTATGACTTGCAGTTAATTAGCACACATCTGACCATCAGAAAACGGCTCAAGCTGGGTTTCAGCTATGTGTTGCTGCAATGCAGTCCTATGTTTGACTGTGATAATTTGATCACCATAACCAAACAAAAGGTTTTTGAGCTTTTGGCTTTACCAACAGGGGAATGCTTGGCAATGTATTTTCCCTCATGTCATATCTACTGATCCACATGATGAAGATGCAAGTTTATGAAGATGAAGGGGCAAGTTGATAAATCTCCTGTGCTTCACGTTGGAGCTGTAGCTTGGAAATAGACAGGCATCTGCAAGGTGTTTATTATTTGTTAGATAGCAGCCATCCCAGCACGGGAAACAAGAGGCATGGGAATAATAGGAAGGCAGAACGTGGAGGTCTTTGAGCAGGAGGCTCTTACATCTGACAGGGGAGGTGGAGAGTGAACAAGTAAAACGTGGATGAAGTGACACAACAGAAAGCCTCAGTAAGTCAGACCTTGTGTTTTCTGTTCCTTACAACATGACTTGATCATTGCAGTTGATGTCACCCTGAATGCTGACACGGCTCACCCCAGACTGGAAGTGTCTGAAGATGGGAAGAGCGTGAATGATACCGGTGTGATCAGACAGGTGCCCAGCAAGGAGGAGAGATTTGATTCCCACATTTTTGTGTTGGCAAAGGAAGGATACACATCCGGAAGAAAATACTGGGAAGTGGATGTTGGAAAGAGAAGAAACTGGATCTTGGGTGTTGCTTCTGAGTCTGTGGCTCGTAAAGGGACTGTGAACCTGTCCCCAAAGAATGGCTTCTGGGTCATAGGGTTAACAGATGGGGAAGAGTATTGGGCCCACACGGATCCTTGGACTCGTTTGACAGCGAGTGGTAGACCACAGAAGATTGGGGTCTTCCTGGACATCTCTGCCAACAAGCTCTCATTTTATGATGCCAAAAAGAAATCAGCTTTGTACACTTTTACCAGTATTGGTGATGGCAGACTGGAAAGGAAATTCATTCCCTTCTTCTCAACAGGTTCTGGTGTCTCAGCGCTTGATACTGAGCCACTGAAAATCGTGCAAGGGTTTGATGATGACTGGTCGTACGACTAAAATGCACACCGTGAGACCAGACTGTAGTCAAAAAAAGCCCCTGATTTTGTATTTTCCAAGAGAAACTGCCTACACATCCTATTATTTTCGTGAGATTGAAAGCAAGTATTTCAGTAACTGTTTCCCTTTATTTCAGAAAGCATTCCAGCAATACTGAGAAGGAATGTTTAGAATGAATATAAAGAAGGAATTCTTCACAGTGATCATAGAGAGACAGTGGAAGACATTACCCTGAATAGCTGTGACTGCTCTATCGACAGAATTGTTCTGAGGTTTGATAGGATTTGAGGAACCTGCTCTAGAGGGGAGACGTCCATTTCCATGGCACAAAGGTTAGACGAGATGATCTGAGAGTCCCTTCCGAATCAAATTATTCTAAGCAGGTAAAACTGTAATAACAAGCAGAGCACTGTGTGAAGGAAGATCATGAGGAGCAATTTATAGCAGATTTTTTTGGCAGAAGCCCAGCAGCAGGCATGGAAAGTTAGGAGACAAAGATATTATGCCAAGCACACAGGATATATTCTTTTGTATAGTGAAAGTTCACGTTCATGTCTATTAGAATTTGAATGAATGCAAGTATGGTAAAGTTACTGCATAACTTCATGTAATCACAGTTTAAATAGCAATAAATGATCTCCTTTTTGCAGATATTTGTCCACAGGTCTTAGTGTTGTCTGGTTTCATTTGTTAGTATCGTAAACATCCAGGGGGTTTTCAGAGTGATTAAGGCTAGAAGGAGCCTCTGGAGGTCCTCAGCTCTTCAATCAGGGACACCCAGGGTAGGGGAAGTTGGCGAAAATGCCTTGAGGCCTGCATGAGTTAACAAGGAGATCCTGGCCAAACTCAAACAGGAAAAGAAAGCCTACAGAGTGAAGAAGAAAGGAGAGGTAACTGGGAAAGAACACAGAGACATTGTTCATGCAGCTAAGGATCGTGTTAAGGAAGCTAAAGCCCAGACATTGTTCAAAGCTTGCTGTCTGCACTCTGTGTCTTACAGCCTAACAAGGATTTCCCCCCCCTCTGTTTTTTTTTCCTTCCAGTTATTTGTCTGATATCACTCTCCCTGCTTTGTATCGGCAAACCCTGAGAATCGTGGTCGCGACACGTGGGTCACGACATGAAATGGCCATGAGAGTTGCCCATCTCTCCCCAGTTCAGTTTCTTCACTTCATAGCGGAGAAAAAGAATTGTCATGTACAGGAAAGCAGATCAGAGTGATTTCATATTGATAAATATGATCTAGCAATACAAGTGCCAGGACGCTACACAGCCAATCGATACGCAGCCTTGTTGACTGATGGGTGTAATCCCAATTTCACCCAATCTGACCTCACACTCCTTAGTATTGAACACCAGTGCTCTCCATTTTAACTCAAAATTTGTCTGTTTCCTGTCAAAAATTCTTCTCTGGGTCAGGAGATAAAATTACTGAAGATTCAGTAAAATTACTGAACATTCTCTAACTTTTCTAGCCGCACAATTTCCCACAGAAAAGCTTAATTTATAGATAATTTCCAGCACAGGAAATCTCCTTTCCAGGGGACACTTCAGCTGATTCAGCCAATTTCAGCTAGTTCATCTAGTTCGTTTGATTCACTTTCTGCATGCTGTAGAGCAGATTAGATTCCAGCAGTTCTTGCTTTTCAAGTCCATACTCCAGATTTCGTGTGAGGAAAGTCAGAACATTGACAACTGCCTTGATTTGTGTTTCCAACTCTGAAAAAGGATCTGGAGTTCTGATCCAGGGAGATGTTGGATACCTACAAACTTCTGATCCAATAAATTCTTCCTGTCCTCATAACTGAATCTAATCCCAACTATCAACCATTTGATCAGAAGATATTGTGATTACCTAAAGTAGGAGATATTAATGAGTACCAGGCACTGGTAATCCTTTCTAACAGTGATTGGTAAAATAGGATCACATGGAAGACTGGCAGGAAGGGCAAAGTGTTAGCAATCCAATAGGAGGAACCTCTACAAAGGACAAGGATAACACAAAATTACCTGCACAGAAATGGGCAGAAGGAGACAAAATGGGGCAAGCCAGACTGAGCTCAGATGGGAAAAAAAAAACACGTGGAAGGTAGAGCCAGGGACAAAGAGCCAGAGGAGATAGCCGAAAATTGTGCATGTTTGCAGGGATAAAAAGAGGAAGAACACAACTTGGCCTGGGTTTAAAGTAGTGTGGGGTGTGAAGGTCATCCTGAAAGCTCAAAGAAATCTTAGTTCTGCTGCCAAAGGGTCAGAGTGAACTAAAGGTGGCTTGCCTGGGCTCTTGTAGAACCAGAAGAGGGCTTACACTGATAGAAGCGGAGCGGTGACGTTACGCACCTTCACTTCAGGGAACTCATCCTGCACAGCAAGTGGGATAATAAGCATCTTGGGAATGACCAAATCAGGCTTTGACCAAGATGCAATCCCAAAAGGCAACAATCCACTAAAGCAACCCCCAACAAAATAACTTCTACAATTTATAAGACTTCCACTCATTCTTGGTATGGGAAAATGGTATTCACTTCTTGGGGTGTTTGGTCAGAGACGTACAAAGAACAATTGCTCACTAGTTTTTAATTTCATTCTTTAGATTTTAACTGATTAATGATTTCTGATTCTTTATCTTTCTATTTCATAGGCAAAACACTTGCAGAAAGGATGTTCTGACTGCCTAATGTTACTTTGTCAAGTGTGGTGCAAGCTTCAAGAGCAGGACATTCAGGTCTCTTCTACTGCAGATGAAAACAGCAAAAGAATAGATGCAAAAAATGTTACACTTCTTAAAGATACCTGGCCATCATTTTCTTTCTTCTTTCTTCACTTTCTCATCTTTTCTTCTAACACAGGTTAGGGCACAGCAATAGAGAAAATTTATAGAGATGTTTTTTTGCTGACAGTTCAAATGCAACTGGGAAAAGACTTGGATTTCCTAAGACTGGTTCTATCCACATTGGAGCAAACCTGAAAACTGCGTTTCTCTGGTCCCACTTCATCAGTAGACGTGTAGAACATACAGTCAGCAGTATGCAAAGAGTGCTTTGATGTCATCTTAGAACTGATGTACATCTGGGTAGAGAAATCACACCCTGAACTCAGAGCTCACCCATTCCCTCTGTCATGGTCCTTCTCCTGGTGTAGAAAACGCTGTCAGAGATTGATAAGCCTCATTACTTCCAGGCACTTCTTTTCAGCATAGAGTGAACTAGCTGAATAAAGCTTTCTACACCCACTGTCCTGCAGCCTAGCTGAACTCAAAGGCCAACTCAGTCCAAACACAGAGACCTCTTGAGATTTCTGGAAATGTTTTCAATGATGTTTGGGTGACCAGTGGCACGTAACTCACTGTCAGAGTCAGTACTTCAAATGAAGCAAGCTGCCCTGTCCACCAGCTCCCACATAAGTTACACTGCCAGGCTGTTTCTTCACCCCCTGAGCACAGTCAGCTGCTTGCCATTTCTTTAAATCAAACACCCAGTCATTATTTCTTGCCAGACAAAACTCACCAACGTTGCTTAATTAAATGAGTAGAAAGAAAACATACAGAAGTAAACCTGTCCCTGCAGTGATCACTGCCAGCTTCAGTTTTGCTTCTTGGTTTCAGATTTCTCTTCCCAATATACACAGATAACTAAATAATGCAGGCAGCATTAAGTACTGCGGACTTTGGCCTTAATTACTAGTGGTGAGGCTCATAAAAATGTTCCCATATAGGATGAAGGGCAACTGCTCAAGTACACACTGCAGGAAACATCTGGAGTGTGTGAAGGAAGTTTTCTGGTCTACTACTTGACCATTTGACCAGAGGAGGATCTCTGTGGATTCTGGAATTAAGGGTATTTCTGTGATTGCATCTAGACTGCAAGAGCAAATTTGGGACGTTCCTGAAGGCCCTACCCACCACTGCTTTTGGAGAAGACAGAAGGGAGGATGCACTGCAATGAACAACTTGCAGACTTATCATTACCAAAGGTACAGAGCTGCTGTGAGCCCTGATGAGGATACTTATCTGGGGAATGGAAGACCTCCCTGCAGTCAGGGAAGAGGTGGTCCAAGAGCGCCTAGGCAACACCAATGTTCACCAATCCATGGGACCCGATGGGATGCATCCACGGGAGCTGAGGGAGCTGGCAGAGGTGATTGCTGAGCTGCTTTTGGTCATCTTTGAGAGGTCTTGGAGGACGGGGGAGGTGCCTGAAGACTGGAGGAGAGCCAATGTCACTGCAGTCTTCAAAAAGGGCAAGAAGGAAGAGCCAGGTGATTACAGGCCAGTCAGCCTCACCTCTGTCCCAGGAAAGGTGATGGAACAGCTGTGCTGGATGCCATCTCCAGACTTCTGAAAGAAAATGAGGTTATCAGGAGTAGTCAGCATGGGTTCACAAGGGGGAAGTCGTGCTCTACCAAACTGGTGGCCTTCTATGATGTTGTCTCTGGCTGGGTGGATGGGGGGAGTGCAGTGGATGTAGTCTACCTTGATTTCAGCAAGGCATTTGATGCTGTGCCCCACGACATCCTTATAACAAAGCTGAGGAAGTGTGGGATAGATGAGTGGACAGTGAGGTGGGTTGAGAACTGGCTGAGTGGCTGAGCGTCATCGTTGTTGGTGGTGCAGAGTCTGGCTGGAGACCTGTAACCAGCGGTGTTCCTCAGGGGTCTGTGCTGGGTCCTTGTTCAACATCTTCATCAATGACCTTGATGAGGGGATGGTGGCCACCCTCAGCAAGTTTGCTGATGATACGAAGTTGGGAGGATTGGCTGACAGCCTGAAGGCTGTTGTATGGGAACTGCTGAGTCACGGCCTGAACCTCTGATTGATCACCTGAGGCAAGCCATGAGCCAGCCAGAGGAGCACAGGTGAAGGCAATTCAGCTGTGCTGCCGGAAGGGGTGGAGCCAGGTTGCACCCCTCCTAGACCTATTTAAGAGCTGGCTACCAGTGGGGAAGGATCTTTTCTGGAGATCACGTCTTCTGGTGTTTTGTAGGTGAGCCCAGCATAAAGGTAAGCTTTCCATTTATTCTCTTTTGTTGTCATTCTCTACTTTGCCTAACTCTCTTGATTATATTGTGGTTGTAACATCTTGATATCCATAGATTATGCAGCTGTGCTGCCATTCAGCGAGACCTGGACAGGCTGGGGAGATGGGCAGTAAAAAACCGGATGAGGTTTAACAACAGCAAGTGTAGAGTCTTGCATCTGGGGAGGAATAATTGCATGCACCAGTACAGGGTGGGGGATGAGCTGCTGGAGAGGAGCTCTGTGGAGAGGGACCTGGGTGTCCTGGTGGATGACAGGTCAGCCATGAGCCAGCAGTGTGCCCTTGTGGCCAAGAGGGCCAATGGCGTCCTGGGATGCATTAAAAAGAGCGTGGCCAGCAGGTCGAGGGAGGTGATCCTCCCCTGTGGTCTGCCCTGCTGAGGCCTCATCTGGAGCACTGCGTCCAGTTCTGGGCTCCCCAATACAAAAAAGACAGGGATCTCTTGGGAAGAGTCCAGCGGAGGGCCACGAAGATGGTGAGGGGCCTGGAGCATCTCTGCTATGAGGAAAGGCTGAGTGAACTGGGTCTGTTCAGCCTTGAGAAAAGAAGGCTGAGAGGGGACCTGATCCAGGTCTATAAATATCTAAGGTGTGGGGGGCAGCATGGCGAGGCCAGACTGTTTTCAGTGGT